TTTTTTTTTTGTTTAACCAACATACAGTTTTAACATAACGTTTTCAACAAAAAATATTGTTTACAATTCGTTTTTCTTTTTCAATTTTCGCGAGAGAAAGCGCTTCGCATTCGAAATACTTCACTCACTATATTCGTCGTTTTAAGTTTCGTTAATACATATGTAAGTCGTTACTCTTAGATTGTTTGTTTATTGAAATACTATACATATGCATGTATGTGTATTTGTTTTTGCACTGGCAATAATTGTCGGAAACGCACTGACCAACACTTTTAACTATACATCTCAACTGACAGTGCATTTCCAAGACCGACGTTGTTAGCGTCGCTGGGCTTCGGCCTCAGCTTCTAATTCAAACTCAAAGAAGCAGTCGTTGCTTATGTAAAATGTGCGCCATTGAGCACCACCGCCATCCCCAGAATCTTCCACACTACCCACTCACATCTGCCTGTATGGCGAATGCATTTTCAGCCATTGAAGAACAAGCGACGGGCCACCAGCTTGTATCTCTGGTGGTATCGTGCTCAGAGGACATTTGTCAATGTTTAGATATTTCAAATTTTGGCATAGTGCCAGCTCGTAGGGCAGCTTCTCTAAGCACGGATTTTGATTAATGTATAGATTTTCAAGATTCTCCAGCGAGCCAATCTCTTCGGGCAGGTACTGTAAATTATTTTCGCTTACTGACAGGTGCGTAAGATTGCTGAGATGGCCGATGCTACGCGGTAATATCGATATCTGATTTGTTTGCAAAATTAACTTTTGCAACTCGTGCAAAAGTCCAATCTCGTTGGGGAGAACCTCTATGTGATTCTCTTCCAGGTCAAGAATGCGCAGTTTACGCAAATTACCTATAGTATTCGGAATCTTCTTGAGCATGTTATTGGACAGAACTAGAATTTCAAGATTTTGTAAGTTCATTATGTCATCAGGTAACTTCTGTAATGCATTTGTTGCCAAATTCAGTTCGACCATATTAACCCAGGTGCCTACATCTAGTGGTAACGCAGTAAGTACGTTTTCCTTCATATTTAGTTTTGTGAGACCTTTGGCGCGCGAGAATATACCATATGGTATTTTGTCGATGCGATTATGTTCAAGGTTGATACTGTAGACGTTAGTAAATTGCGCAGGCCCACCGGTCGGGTAACTGGTGAAAGCGTTTCGCGACAGCGTTATGTTCGTCAGAGCACTAAGGCTAGCCAAAAGCCCATCGGGCAATTGTGTTATACCGTTGCCCTCGACATTAAACTCGTCCATGCATTTGCAATTCTTCAGTGTTGCTGGAATACTAGAAAGGCGATTGTATCTGAAAACAAGTTAATAAAAATTTAAAAACGTAGAACCAGCATATTTACATTCAGATACATTAGACTACTCAGGTACCATGGTTTCATGTTAGAGTTGCCAGATTTTTTATGCGCAATTTTATTCAAAGCAAAATTATGAATGTAAGTAACAGATAATACTTTAAAACGCAGAGAACTTGTTTTTAACAATAATTTTGTATATCAATAATATATATAGTTCATAAAAAAATAAAAGTGTTATTCATTTTAACAAGAGTGTACACATCATTGTACACAAGAGCCAATAAATTATTTTATATTTATGACATTTTTGAATAGTAATAATGAGATCATTTCTATTTGCAGTGTTCTTTAAATAGTCAATGAATTCTATGCATTCCATTTTAAAATTACTTTCGCCTAGTTGCGAAGTTAGAAGACTTGGAATTTCGGAACTGAGTAAGAGAATTTTCTTACAATATTATGCACACATAACCGCGTCAGGACCTAGACTTACACTGATATACACACGTATGTAGAAGAAAACATTAAATCGTTTTTTATAAGTGGGGATGTTTTTTTAGAAGTAACTATTTAACTAAACCCGCAAACACATTGGGCGAATAGAAACAAAAAAATGTTTAAAANTAGAAGTAACTATTTAACTAAACCCGCAAACACATTGGGCGAATAGAAACAAAAAAATGTTTAAAACAGTTTCATAAAGCATTTATTTCATTTAATGACGTGGTTTCCTTTATGAGGTATTCTTTTCT